GACATGCAATTTAACAAGCTAAAACATCATATGAGAGAAATTTGGAAAACTTAAGTCATAACATCATAGTCAATGCAAGCTAGCATCATATTTAAAACCTTTGAACTAATGTGCCATACTTCTTTAAGTAGCCTTAGTTCATTATTGATCTTGTTGTGGGAATTAGTCTTAACCGACATTGAGACCATGTGAGCTGTAACATGAACACCCTGTGTCTCCCACACTGAAAATGTTGTACTACTTGCCTAAGCTTGCCTAAGGTAGAACCATGATTTCATAGCTTAAGTGGATCCACTAGCTAAACATCCTACGGGGGCACGTATTTTATGGGATAAGGAGATTGTTACTAAAAACCCGACCTCTACTGACGTGAGGGATTCCATCTCAAGAGATTGCTTCTAGAAACCTGGCCTCTACTAACGTGAGGGCTTCCATCTCACTACAATATCCACTCGGTGCTAAGCATAAATCCCACGGAGTAGTTATTAAGTTTTGACTTAACTCGATCATGCCTCATGGAAAGATGTCCCTTGGACAACCAACCCAACTTAGTTCATTAGGATAGCTCCTTAGACCATGCATGAGTAAAACTTTCACCGTCCATGATCACTTTAATCTTAGATTCAATTAGGTGAGAAAGCCTTTCAACCTTAGAATCTTCATTATGTGAGAAAACCTTTCACATCATGTTAATTATGTATTTATGAGAATGTCCTTTCAACAACACAACAACAACATCATAATCATTGATACTTTACTCTCAAACCATCCTTAAAGCATTTATATAGATTTCATAAAGACATGCATAATCTCATACTTTTCCCTTTCAAGGTTCAAAGCCTACTTTCAATCACCGCATCTAGAATTCAACATTAGACATGGATTTCATTATAATTCATGTGATTCTATCACTTCATGCATAAATTCATAAAATTCCTCTTTCATCAACAAGACTCACATCATATCATCAAAATTGAGAAATATTGGAATTACATGGGTTCATGGGTAAACAACATAAAAACCATAGGAAATCATCAATTCATGCTTAATAAAACTCAGTTAAATCATTTAAATAAAGTTTGAAAGGAACCCATGGTAATTGAAGAAAACCCTAACACTTGGGAATTTCTACCTTTTTGAATTTGGAGATTTTGAGGGAACTACATGGATGAAAGGAATCCATGGATAAAAACTACCATACCTTATTATCAAAGCCCAAAGAAATTGATGTATGAAAACTTGCTCTTGAACCCTAACTTGAATCTCCTTCTTATTCTTCGAGTTTCTAGAGAGAGAATTATTTGAGAGAAGAACTTTTGGGGATTTCTTTTGGGTTTTGGAAAATATGACTTGAATGGGTGAGTTTTAGAGTTAAAATGACTTATATAGAGGTCCTAGACTTAGGCAAAATGACATAGCTTTAGTTTGATTAAAATTGGAAAAGACCATTTAAGCCCCAAACTTACAGTGCACTGCCCAAGACCACGTGAGGCTCCACGAGCCGTGGTCCTCTTCGTGGTCCATGGACCAGTAGCTAGGTAAGTTCCCCCCTAGCCCCAAAAACCTAAGGCTACTCCACGAGCCTCCCAGGAGTCGTGGTCATTACCACGAGCCGTGAAGTGGCTCGTGAAGAGGAGGTTGTTTTGGGCAGCCTTGAGGAGGCCACTGCCTCACCACCATGAGTGGTACCACGAGCCGTGGTGGCCACCACTAGCTGTGAAGGCTCTCGTGCTAAGGTGGGCAGTGCATAGGAAAAGTTGGGCTGCTCTAGCTCTCTCCCCTGGCTCTTGCCCTTCTTCCTTGATTCTTGCCCTCACACTTAGCCCTAGTTTAGTCTACTAGATTCCGGGGGTTACAAAAATAAAAGATTTTAATACTTGTAGTAGCTTTACTATTGATCAATGTATCATATGTCCTCAAGCTAGATAGACTAGAATTCAAATCCCTATAAGTCACACTACAACAGATCATGTTTGATTTAGTGCATATGGATGTATTGGGCCCATATAAGGTGAATACTCATAATGGAATGGTATATTTTCTCACTTTAGTGTATGACAAATCTAGATGGACCTGGACTTTCTTAATTGCTTTAAAGTCTGATGTAATAGTTGTTCTGAAATATTTTTTTGATAAAGATAAAGAATCAATTTAGAAAATGTATAATGAAGGGGAGTTTCTGAACTCTAACTGTCATGATCTGTTTGTATGGTATGACATCATTCATGAAAGATCATATCCACACACTCCACAACAAAATAAAGTTGTGAAAAGAAAACACAGAAACTTATTTGAAACAATAAGAGCTGTCAAAATTCAAGGTCATTTGCCTAATAGATTTTGGGGAGACTGTATCGAAGTTGAAACCTATATCATCAATAAAGTACCTATGTCTGTTCGGGGAAATAAGTCACCATATGAGATGTTGTACAACATTCAACCTTCTTTAGCTCACCTCAGAGTGATAGGTTGCCTTACATTTGCTACACTCCTGAGAAAGGATGACAAGTTTGCACCAAATGCTAAGAAAAGAGTGCTTATGGGTTATGTTGTTAGTCAAAAAGGGTACAAATTGTTTGATGTTGAGTCCAATGTTATCTTTGTTAGCAGGGATGTGACTTTCCATGAGACTGAATTTCCATTTCAATCTTCAAGCCTTGGTGAAGCTGAAAATCACGAGCCTTCAATATCTTATTCACATATAGAAGATTTTGAACTCACACCATGAGTGGTTATCAGGAGTAAAAGACTTACTATTGTATATGAGATTACAATAGAATTTGCTTCATATGAACATCACAAAGATCCTGCCATTGTTCAACATGTAGAAAATGTTGCTAATGTCTTTCCACATGATCATGCTCCATCAGTGCAGACTTTTGCTAAACTTCATAGTGCATCTCAGAATCATGTGTCAGTAGTACACATCTGACATCCCACCAAGTGCCACCAGAAAGTCTAGCAGATCAGTTAAACCTCTTATTTGGCACATAAATTATGTGTGACAATGACTAATACAACTACTGGAAGTTGCTCCCAATAGCACACGCAAGTGTACGTGGTCAATCAAATAATACAATAACTCTTTCGAGCCGAATTATCAAATCCAAAGGACTTTAACTTGAAAAATAATCACTTTGTTGTAACTAAAATAAATTTACTTGTGTGACATGGAGTTGTAAGAATTTGTTTAAACTACTATTTTTAAGACAATTAAAATTACTAACTAATTGACAAATGATTCAGTTGCAAACAATTCACAATTTGAGAGAAATTCCAGGGTTACAACATACGCCGATTTAGAGCATAATAAATCCTACTCCAGCATTCGAAAGGTTATCAAGTTACTGATTCATAAGGTTGAATTTACAATCATGGTCTCCCGACCTCTAATCGCTTACCACCATTGACAAACTAACTACATCGTTGAGCGGGGATAGGCATGATCCAACCATGGAGCATTAAGCTATCATCTTGTCTATTAACCAAATGAGGCATGTAGGTATATTTCTATCCTATATGCGAAACATCCTAAGTTTTTACCCTAGAATGAACACGTTCCTCACATTCCTTGTTCTATCCCTCCATTTTGTCTCCCGAGTTCATCTTATCATTTTAACTTTGTGTATTCTTTATAGTGAAAATTACTAATAAAATCAAATTATATTATTAATGAAAATTAGAAAAAAAAAATACTATTAATTCGGGATGAAAATAGTATATGTTAAATAACGTTTTTTAAAAAAATATTATACTCCCTCCATTTAAAAAAGAATGTCCTAGTTTGACTTGGAACATAGTTTAAGAAAAGAAAGAAGACTTTTAAATTTTGTGGTTCTAAATTAATGTTATGTGAAATGTACCAAAATGCCCTTTAAACTTGTGGCCTTAAACATGTCAGGTGGAAAGTTGAAGTTAAAGTGTTGCCAAAAAAGGAAAGGAGTTATTCTTTTTTAAATAGATTAAAAATGAAATGAGACCATTCTTTTTTAAACGGAGGGAGTATTACATTTAAAAAGAATTATGAATATTAGATATTTAATTAATGACATTATATGTAAAATAATATGTTATAAGAAAATAATATAAATAATAATAAAATATTGAAAAAGTGAAATAGAGAGTGTGAATAATAGTTTTTCAATTCAACTCTCTAAGTATGAAGAATAGAAACTAATATAGAGGGGGAGTTGGAGTGTCCATTCTCTACTTTATTCTCCAAATATAGAGAAAAGAAAGTAAAATAGAAGTGGATTGAAGATGATATTATGAAATGATAAGAATAAAAGAAGGCATATTCTGTACTGTTGATAACAAATGAAGATTACTATCTGGCCGCAATTTCCGGGGTGAATGCATCAAGAAATTCAAAACAGGGATATCTAGCTGGTTACGCGGGTCTCTGAGAAAGATCCAGTTTGCGCTTTTGTCTTTTCAAACACATTACACATCACTGAAATTAGTTGCCAAGCCCGCAATAAAAATTTTATCATAAAAAAATTGTACACACTCCAAACACATAGTAATAAATTTCCTTATCAACTTCAACAACATTACAGTGAGTACCAAATTCCAACTGACAAGAAGAAATAAAAGACGCAATTAGGCAACCAATCTCAGTCACTCTGCATAATGTAAAGGCTTTAGTAGCGCTTAAAAGGCTCTTTTTACCTCCTCTTCTCTCCATTCAAGAGAAGAAGACCCGCAAAACTATGACTGTTCAGTGAACTATATATCCTACCTATAGAGTAAAAACAGTTATTATTTTGTCACAAATGTAGTTCCTCAATAAAACTATCACTCAATATATCAATTAGCATGCTGCAGAAACAATTACTTCTCTCACCAAATAGCATATATCACTGTACAAGGTATACAAATGTTGCAGATCTTATGTTTCGTCAAGGTCTCACAGTTCCTTCAGAGAGCTTGCACAAAATCATAGACATGTTGGCAGTTCCTATTCATATTTGCATAATCTAAAATTCACCCCAATCACACTACACTTCAAGTCGCAGCACTTTTCGGGCTGTCCCTAGGGGATCTGATCCAGAAACCTGCACAACTAAACTGCAAAATACAAATTGAATCAAAACTTAGCACTATACAATCATCATCAATAGATTAAAATGTACTACAACATATTATAGACAAAACAATATAGCACTTACTTGGGTGACCCGGCACTTTTAGCAGCAGTTCTGGCGGATAGATCATAGTATTGTTGAATAATAAAGCTATTCGATCTTGATCCACTCGGTTCAGGGGAATCATGAGAAATCACAGCTGAACTTCCAGAGGACATCCCTGCAAACAATTTGGCAATGTCCCAAATCATCAGATAATTTGTTCGTTGGAAACAAATCTGATCGCTACTAATTATGAGGAGATGGAGATTATGTCTAGGATGTTGCTTACATGATGTCGGATGCAATTAACTCTACCCAGCAGGATTCTAAAACAATTACACTCACAAAATTGACATATGAAAGATACAAGCAATGTCAAATCATTACCTTGAAAACACAGCACGAGAAAGAAGAGGACAGTGAAGAGAAAGGCAAGGACACTGCTCGTGGATGATGATGATGAAGAATTTGAAGATGCTTTTGCTGCTTTCATTTTCTTCAAAGCCTTGATTCTCTCAATCCGTACACGTTTGATCATTGCGAGTTCAGCGATCTCTTTAATAAGCTTCTGATCAGCAGCATCCAAAGATAATCCTCTTGGAGGTCTAGGAGGCTTTTTAGCACTACCGGATTTACGCTTATCATTCACATTTTTCTTCTCTACGCCATTTTCAGCCACTAATCCCTTGGCCTTCACATTCTCGGGAGTGAGCTCATGGTCATCCTTTACATTGCTAATCATACAGAACCCATTTTCAGGTCTAACAAGTTGTTCGTCATCACAGAAATTGTTGAAAAATCTCTTGCCTATTTTATCAATGGAAATAGGATTAGTAGTTGCTGCTTCTTCAATGGTGTTGTTGCACATCTCAAGATCAATCACAAAATCACAGGGTGTATGATCCATGAGTACTCCACTCTGCAATCTGCCCCGGATACTGATCTGAAAGAAAATTTATCAAACCCCCCCTTCAGTTTACTGAACAGAATTATCCATTTTCTTCACCCTATTTTCATAAGACACACAAAATGCACCTAAAATTCTGTAAAATTAACAACTCCAATTGATTAAGTAAGCAGCTATATATCATGAATTGCTCAATTCTACTATTTCAAATGAAATTGTTCATATTTTGTATTTTGGTGATACCTACGCGTCTTTGACCCAAAAGTTTCACAATTTGAAATAAACAAATCATTCATACGTCAAAAAGGAACTTTATCAAGTTATAACCCATTAAAAAATGAGAATCTATTCAAATTCATATTCAAAAATGTGATTATCAACTATACTTGACTGGAAAAATCAATCCATCTACTATCTTGGTCTAAGCTTAGTCAAAATATGTAAATTGAAATAAGTAAAGTAAGTGGAGAAAATCAAGATTTTACCTTTAGAGACAGATCCAAAGAGTGTGATATTGGAGATGTGAATTAAGAGGAGTGCACGTATATATCATTTAATAAAATGAGTAGTGCCCATTGTCAGAGCTTAATATTCAAATTGAATTATATGAGAGAGAATGCGACAAGTAAGGCTAAACGCACGAGGCTGTTTAATTTCTGTGGGAATTAACATCCAAACTACTACTACACTCATTTTTTTATGTTTCAATTGTTGTTTTTCTTTACCGTTTATAAATTTATACTCTCTCCGTCCCTTTTTAGTTGTCCACTTTAGAAATGGCACACAGATTAAGGCAACAATGATTAGCACAGTGAAGTTACAATTTTACCCTTGACAACTTTTCACTTCAAAATTACAATCACTTATTTGAATTCAAGTGAAATAAATTGGAGGGAAACAACATACACTTTTACAATTTTCAAGAAGTGTAAATAAGGGTATAATAGAAAAAAATTTGTTGTCCTTTCTTGATTTGTCAAAATGGACAACTAAATAGAGACAACCAAAAAAGGAAATATGGACAAGTAAATAGGGACGGAGGGAGTATATGATTGTTTTGTTATGAGGAAAGAGACTTGTCCAGTATTTGTTACCATTTGATTATGGATTTGACAGCACACTGCAGCAGCCGAGAAAGTGAGATTCTGCCTATTATAACATTATTTGCTTGTTTTTCATGAATCTCCACCGACACTTTTTCTGCTCCACTTTTAAAAAAAAAGTAAAATAAATAAATTTCAATCTTACACTTTTAAATTAAAAATTGTGTATAATACTTTAATTTTGTAGACTTGAACGTACAAGTTTAAATTAATAGGTTATTAAAAAAGAAAACTAATATTTTTATTTCAACTGACTAAAAAATAAATTCGAAATGGAGGGAGTATGGTTGGAGCATACAGGACGATTCATTCGAACTCCTTTCGACGAAAAAATATATTATTTATATATGATTAAAATTATTTTTCTATAGATATATAATAGATATTAAATTCTTAATGATCTTTTCGTGTATTTATTTGTTTATATTTTGAACTCATTATAGAAATCTGGCTCTTCAATTGGGAAGTAGTAGTTATTATTGATTGGAAGAAATATGTAGAAGATTAGTTTTGGGGTTTCAAATCAATTTATCATTGTTTTATTACTATTATTATTATTTTTTAAATTAAAATTGACATACTCTTATTTCAGTAGGATTGTACTTGACATGAAAGGATCAATACGTTTCTTAGAAGTAGTTAGTTTGTAGAGTCAAATTCCAAATGTTAAATCAACGAGTACAAAATAAACAGCAGATATCTTTTTTTCTTTATTAGGACAACGGGATTTCAAACATTTTTATATTGTTTCCACTTCAAATTGAATGTTTTATGTTGTTGTTATGTTGTCATACTCATACCTCACATGGGTGGCAAAGTCAAGCACATATGAGACTAATTCAAATTCTTCCAAACAGAGATCAAGACAATTAATTTGCACAATAACAAATCTATAATAAAAGGAATCGTAGTTCGCTCATTTCTTTTACAGTTTTTATGAATTTTTTTTTTGAGTTTTTGGGGTGAACTAACATAAGATAACTTTTTTTTTCACAGTTCACCCATAAATTAGCGAAGTGTCTCTTTGGTTTGTGTTATTACTCCATTCGTTTACTTTTACTTGTCACACTTTAACTTGACACACCATTAATAAAATAATTATTGATATAAGTATTTTACCAAACTATCTCCTATTAAATAATGTCTTGAAAAATAAGTATTTAATGTTGAGGGGAAAATATGAAAAAAATTATTGTCTTTTCTAGATATGTCAATAGGCACAAATAAAAATGAAAATATATTTTAGAAATAAGTGATAAGTAAAAGTGAACGAAGGGAGTAAAAGGATCCTTTTTGGTCCATAGCGTTTAAAAAATATCCGTTTTGGAGCCGGACTCTTCGTAAAAGTGTCTTAGCCCGCAATGCCTGACCTGCAATAAAATATATTGCCACAACATTAATTTTTTGCCTGCGATTAAGAAATTTGAAGTTGGTGGTGCCGTTTGCCCAAGTATAAATTGAGCATATTTTTGCCGGCGATTAAGCTTACTTTATGAAATTCATAGTTAGTTTTATTCATGTTGACCTCTTTTTGGCCTTTAATTTATTACTTCATTTTCCAAATATAGTGTCCTTAAATTCATATAAATTAATTGTCATAAACGTCTAAGATATTAAATTCTTACACAAAATATGAGACTATGAACGACGCAGGAAGTGCATTCAAAACAAATTAAAGATATTTGTCGGTCCCAACACAATATATATTTTGTTTGGCTCATTTAGTCGTTAGCCACGATGTCCCTTATGATAATGTAACTCTTGGTTGGGTTGCTAGGTGTCCTTTGAAAACCTACCCTTATCTCCAAAGGAGATGTATCTTTCCTCAAACTACCGCTCCACCCCACCAAAATTAATAAATATCATATTGTCATAAATACATTTATTATTGGGGATGTTCACTTTAATACACAATTTATTTTATAAATTTGTAATTGAATTAGTTAAGCTTGTGGGTGTAAATTACACCCTTCAATTTTGGTATAATTTTTTTCTTCTCAATTTTGAAAAATAATCATTCTCCTCTTTTTATTATATGCATAGTTTATTTTATTTTGGCCAATTTTTATCCTTCATTTTTGTAATTGAACTTTGAGATAAAACTTATATACATCAAAAGTTTGGTTCATTTATGTCATTTTCGTTTGATAAAAAGTTCATATATACATGTCATTATTTGTTAACTGAAATGACATAGATGAGTCAAACTTTTAACAGATGATATAAATGAGTCTTTTCTCAAAGTCCGATGACATAATTGAGTTTTTTTCTCTTTTAAAAATGATTTAATTAATGATATGACAGAATCATAATTGATCACGTGTAAAAAATGATTTTACAACATATAATGGCATGGATGAACTTTTTCTCAAACGGAAATGACATAGATGAGCTTAACTTTTAATGGATGACATAGATGAACTTTTTCTCAAAGTTCAATGACATAATTGAGTTTTTTTCCTATTATATATAATGTTCAATTTTTAACCTATGCATTTTACATATTTATATTTAAGTTCATTAACATTATAAGTAGAATAACATAAGTTTGTTGTAAATAAAAAAGTTCATAGAATTTGTACAAGTCTAAGGTAGATGAAAGGTCTTTTCAATTAAATTTAATACATAATTAATTTCAGAAATATTCGGTTGAAAAAAAATAGAGTGTTACTCCCTTTGTTCCTAATTACTTGTCCACATTTTCTTTTTTAGTTGGTCCCTAATTACTTGTCCGTTTTGACAAATCACGAAATGACAATTTTTTTACCTATTATACCCTCAATTAATTACTTTGAAAAATATAGAATTTCTTGAATATCTTAAGTTTTTAATTCATCTACTTCATAACTAATAGGGGTAAACTGGTAAACTTACTATGTCAATAATTGTTTTCTTCATAGGTATATCAATTCAGAAGTGGACAAGCAATTAGGGATAGAGGGAGTAAGTTTCAAAAATATTTGTCGTTGAGTTTCAAAAATATTTGTCGTTGATATCATATTGAGACAATAACTAACATGAATGGTCGATATCTTTATTTTACCAAGAATATCTCATACACAAAAAAAATGTTTTGAAGAAATTATCAGCTTTATCTTCTGATCTATATTATCCGAAAATTACTATAGTTAAAGTATACTCTATTATAAATCAAGAGTTTACTAATTTAAATACTTTTGTGTCTTAACGTGATCGAATCGGTCATCCAATTGGATCAACAATGATGAAACTAGCCATTGAAAAGTTAAATGGACGTCAATTAAAGAACCTCAAGATTTTTACAAGTGACGAATCTTTATGTGTTAATCATTGGATCCTCTAATTTTAAAAAATGTATTCATAGAATATATGTGGACCGATTCATCCATCTAGCGAGTTATTTAGATATTTTATGATATTTACAGATACATCATAAAGATGATTTTCTGTGTTTCTGTTATCATTTCGCAACTTGTCATTTATAAAATTATTGATACAAATAATATGATTGTGAATGCAATTTTCATATTATCCTATTAAGACTATTTGCCTCGATAAAGCTTAATAACTTATATCCCAAACTTTACTTTTGATGAATATCGTTATCAATTAAAATAAAAATTGAGCATCTTGTAGGTCATGTACATATTCAAAATGCCTAGTAAAATCATTTATCAAGCACATGTACTTGATAGCTAGATCATTAGTAAGGAAAATTAAGTTGCACACTATAATTTAGAGTCACCCATCTTGTCAATTATCTAAGTTAATTTTATCGGAAAACCTTGTTATTAAATAAATTTGTAATTGAATAAATCTACAATTTAGAGTCACCCATCTTTTTTCTAATGTATTTATATCTTATAACACCTACAGACAAAAGAAATTCAAAGAGTATGGACTAGTATATTTTTTAATGGCACTAGGAATTTTTTTTGTAAGAAATAAAACCAACAAAAAAGCAAAGAAACTTTCATAAACACGAAGGAAACATGTGACAGACAAATCATACAATTTCCATTCAATCACTATTTCTATATTTTTATTGTTTATTTTTCTGTTTTCATAGAGGATCTGTGTGTTAGCTGGATTGACATGTTGAAAAATATTTCTGTGTCAGTGAAAACGTGTTCTCTTCCTACTATAATTTACTAGTATACATGCATATGCGTGTCACGATCCGAAATGAGTCATGAGTGACACTCACACTTACCTTTTTAGGTGGGTGAACCAATGAATCCAATTCCAATTTATATTTATTGTTCAACTTACAAAATACTAACCATAATGCGGAAGCTCAAATCTATTAAATATCATTTCTCAAAATCTGAAAGTTATCACATCAAAGACATCGAATCCCCAAATCCTATGTCTAAGAGTATCAAAGACACCAAAATAAATTAACAAAGTAGTTTGTGTCAAATACTAAGGACATTGTGCCATGACCGAGAGAATCCAACACGAGCTAGAA